CCGCTAATCTGGGACCAAGGCTTTTGAGAAACTCAGAGTTGGAAATACTCGCAATGGCTCAAAGAGTAAAGGCAGTGATGGTGATTTTCCTTCTCCTGATTGGACAATACAACTCAACAACTGGGATTATATCATTAGCTGTTGTCCCAACAATCTACCAGGTACTGGTTGTGCTTGTTGTCCCAACAATCTACCAGGTACTGCACGGGTTGTGCCAACTTCTCCTCGTACTCTGATTCTTGGGACGAGATGCTAACCTGTTGCGAGGAGGTTTGTTCAGACAACAGCATAACTGACCGCCTGGAGCAGTATTTACATTCAAATATTTCATGTATTTTCCATGTCATAGTCGTCACAGGGAAGACATAGGTTTCAGCTAACCGCCTAGCCTCAGCCTCAATTTCCCAAAACACCCCTGGCTGTGATCGCGACTCAAAGGTATGACATCGTGATAGAGATCGACCAAAGTGATTTTTCAGGATGTTTTCCTCAGACCACTGAAACTTTGAAATCTGTGATTCTTGGTGCTTTCTTTACTCACTGAAGCTTTATTTTAACCATTCATTTGTTAGAGTCCGAGGGTTTATTCTGAGCTTCGTACATGGCAGAAAAATGTACTTGCATTTGATTTCCTGTGGGTGGGAACCATCTGTGAGTTTGTACAGGTGCTTCCTCTGATCACAGTCGCAGCAGTAGCTGGTGTGTCGGTGGCTATTTAGGTTTTAAATGAGGTAATTGATTGTTCATTCAATTAGTCTCAGCCTGCTCCCGGGGGGCAGATGCAGCCATTGGGTAAAAATGAGCTCAGTCAATCAATGTGCAGCTCCCACTGAGTCCGCAGCGACAATGGTTCTGTTTCTGCTCCTTCCTGGTGAATCTGTCTGTCTGTGCTGACATGGCCGCCACTTCAACGCCTTCTTCTCTGTTTACATCTGCAGACATATTGAAAACTGGACGGGTCTTCAGGTCTTGAGGGACGTGGACATAGAGCTCTACACCGGCTTAGAGAGGCTGTGAGTATCATCAGCTGTTTTACACTAACATCAACGTAACTACAGTACGTCGGATCAGACTCTGACCAGAACATGGAGCACGTGATCAAACTAATGAGAATGAGAGCGAGGGAACCTTCACTGTCCCAGTGAATCATAACACACAGACAAACTGCACTCACACACACACGTCCAACTATGATCGTGAAACTCTCCATTCTTTACTTTCGTAGATCGTGAAACTCTCCATTCTTTACTTTCATAACTTCTGATGATGAAGAGAACAGATCAGAGTTAGACACTCGTCAAGTTACCAATGATTTTGTCTTCTTCTGCACCGAGTCATGTTACGACTCATCTTACGAAGTGTTTATGACTGTTGGTTAAGTCTAAGCATGGGCAAACTAAGGCCCAGGGACCGGATGTGGCCCGTTCAGCTTTTTAATCCGGCCCAGCAAAACATTTCCAAATCGTATAATTCATTTATATTATCGTTATACTTCTTGGCCCGCAACGTTTGCCCAATAGATGGCCTGCCAGTCCACGCCTGGTTAAGTCAATGATAAGATATCAGCGTTAGCCAATCAGAGGTAAAGACTTTTCGACTCCCCCCGTGGGACGTCACCCTTTACAGTAAAAACCTTAATAAAATAGACAAATAAGAAATATTAATTAATTAATTAATTAATAATATAACTTAATACAGGAGAAGTTCGGTGGACCAGATGAAACAGCCAAATCCGATGTCTGCGTTAGTTTCTTCAGATTTCGTAAAGGAGCCTCGTGACTAGTCATTTATCACTGTCTAAAACATTTATCCACAATCGATAAACGGTGTCTGCAGAACTGTGAAGTTTGGAATTTTTTTTTTTGTAAGTAACTCTTTGCTGCCAATGTATTTTTATTTTTGTATTTGCACGTTCTTCTTTTTGTACTTATTCTTATTTTAATTCTTTCTTTTTATTTGAAACCCACAGGGCCGCGACATACTTATTAACAAGGTGTGTGTGTGTGTGTGTGTGTGTATGTGTGTGTGTTACAGCACTATCACCAGGAGCAGTCTGCACACCATTCAAACTCGTGTGTTCTCCAAGAATCCCCATCTGCGCCACATGTGAGTATTCGCCCACAGGGGGCAGTGTTTGTCATGTAGGACATGTTTATCTGTGACATGACACACGGTGACTGCACAGAGGATCAGATGGATATAAAAGAAAACAACATTTAAATCATCAACAGTAAATTAACACACAGAAGTGAAGTGTGGGGATAAAAATGTTGCAAAAAAATTCCAAAACGAATATTAAAAAAAAATCCATAATCCATATAATTTAAATTTCAATAAATATTTAAATAAATGACAAGAGTCATAAAAAAGGACAATTTAATGATAATTTACAGGGAAAAATTTATTATCTTTTTTTACCTGTTTGACTATAAATAATAATAACAACAACAACAACAATAATAATAATTATTATTATTATCAATAATAATAATATTATTATTATTATTATTCCAAAAGTACCAAACTTGATTCTTCTGTCAGAAACATTTTGGGTCAAGAGCCAATAAATAATTTATTGGCGTTTCTTTGTCAACAATATTCCTTTTCATCCTCCGTCGCTGCCTCTTTTGACAGTCTCCGTCCCCTGACACTGCAGCTGAGCATAGTCTAGAAATAGTGACCAATCCTGTTTTGAGGCAGCTCAACATGTGGTTGGCCATCACGGTGCTGCCGAGGCTTCCTGAGCAGCAGGGCGTTGGCAGATGGTGTTTGTATCCCCGGCCGTGAATGGGATTGTTGATCTACTGTACGGTGTATTCATGTTTCTGAGAAAGCAGTCATGGTGTCTATTCATAACCACGGAGACCAACGGGTGTCTGTGCTGTGACCACGGCTACACACTCGTACGTCAGGGGCTCTGGAGTCCAACGGAGAACTCCACAGATTTGAAGGTTCGACTGAAGAGTGTTCGAGCAGAAGGTATTCTGTTCCTTGTACTTGTCTCAGTACCTGTAGTTCTTGTAGTTCTTGTAGTTCTTGTAGTTCTCTGAGGTCTGTATCATCTGGATCTCTAAGTTAGTCTCTGACTAGGCCACGTCTTTGGCTTTTTCTGCTTTGAAATCACATCCTCCTCATCTCATTTTTGTTTTTCTTTTGGTCGTTCTTTCAGTTTGTCTTTTAGTAAATTTCTATTTATATCTATACATTTTATTTATTTTTCTGTACTTTATCCTTTTTCTTTAACTTCAAGTTCTTCAAGTTTCTGCTTTGTTTTGTGTATTTCCTCCTTCGTGGTTCTTTTCTTTGTTTCTTCTGGCTCCTCTCCAGATTGAGTACCGGATTTTCCGGACTATAAGTCGCACTTTTTTCATCCTTTGGCTCGGTTTGAGACATACAGTCTGATCTTCTTGTGGTTTTTTTCTGACCTCTGATTCCAAACTACTGCTATTTTGTTTATATATTTGGTCGATTGATTTCAACGGCTGTTTCCAGATTCTCGGTCTCCTCCACCTTTACTAATCCGTCTTGTCCCAAACACATTTTTTTCTGTCTCGTATCGACACCGTCCAACTCCACCTCCCTACAGACTGGTGCAGTGGCAAAGGGAATGAGCTGAGAGGGATGTGTGGAGAGAGGTGAGAGGTGCTGCCAGATGGTGTGTTGGTGGTGGTACTGCATGTGCTGCCGAGTGACACATGACTGGACTGGACTGGAGTTCAACCTGCACACTGGACCAGAGAACATCTGTAAAGTTCTCAGACTCGTGTGCGTTTCCAGAGTCACTGCCTTAAAGTCAAACGGTCAACATTTTTATTTATTTATTTGTTTATTCATTTTTGCAGCTCTGCGGTTGGGGAGCGCCGTTTCAGATTTTCCAAAACAGAGAAATTGTAAATACATTTTCTTTGATTGTATCTCCCATAATGCTTACTTTTTTAAAACGTTTTTGTTTTAGATTAAGTTTAAATATAAGGAACTTTTGTTACATTTAAACTAAATATTGTATAAAAAATTCCCCTTTCCTGGAAACATAAACCAAATGATCTGCTCTCTGACATCTATTATTTGTTTATTTTCATTTTTAGTTTGAGTTCTAACTCTTCATGTTGGAGACTCAACAAACCGACTGAGAATCAGCCTTTGAACCAATCACAAATGTCAGGTTTATATTTGGCCAGTGGACAAAGACAAACCTGCGCTCCGACGAATTAAACTAATTAGAGCTGTCCGTGACAAGTGTCACTTTGATTGGCAATTGAATCAAGCAGAGATTACACTGAGTCACATCCATGAAGACACCGACAGGATGAGTGACAGCTTTAATTACTGTGGCAACGACGGTCATTTCACAGCCTTCTGAAAATAGACTCTCTGTGTGTGTGTGTGTGTCACTAACTGACAGTAGATGCCCCGTCATTTATGAAGTAACAAGAGCAAATAGACTGATGAAAAAAAATAATAGAGAAAACCATTGGATTCACAAGTGCCAAGCAGCAGCAGCAGCAGCAACAGCAGCAACAGCAGCAGCAACAGCAGCAGTAACAGCAGCAGCAGCAACAGCAGCAGCAGCAACAGCAGCAGCAGCAACAGCAGCAGCAGTAACAGCAGCAGAAACAGCAGCAGCAGCACAAGTACCAGCAGCAGCAGCAGCAGCAGTAGCAGCAGCAGCAGCAGTAACAGCAGCAGCAGTAACAGCAGCAGAAACAGCAGCAGCAGCAGTAACAGCAGCAGTAACAGCAGCAGCAGCAGCAGTAGCAGCAGCAGCAGTAACAGACTCAGGTCTCCAGACTATTAAAAAAACATAAAGTGAAATGGAAACATAAATGTGCGTTCTGCCTCCTCTCCTCTTCTTTTCTCTTCTCTTCTCCTCCGTTCTGCCCTGAGAAGAATACGATGAGGTCCATAATCTCAACAGCCATGAATAATAAACATTGTTACATCACCACTTGAAATGAGAGGAGGGACACAGATGGTGCTGAAATCAGGAGAGGACGTGCAACTACAGCAGTGAGACAGACATAAACACAGGAGCTGATTGAATCTCTGTTCACTGAGGAGTTGAAACTGCCACGAGAATGCAGCCGCCTGACGTGGCCACCGGAGGCGCTGCAGTAGGATCAGGACTTTGAGGTTTCACATTCACCTGAGGTGTGATTTCTGTCTTATTAATTGACATGTAAAACGTGTCAAAGTTCCATAAATAGACCTGAGCGAGGAAGAACAACCATGGATGGAATTTTCTGCTGCATTTTTGTTTCTATCAGATTTTAAAATCCTAATCCAGGGAATCCGACGGAGGAGTAACTCAGTGTTCACCTTAGGTCGGAAGTTCACGTACTACATCACTCACCTAGGCTAACACAGAGGTGACATCGTGGCTAGGACGTAAAAACAACAGAAGAGTCTGACTAGGAGCCATAACGAAGGGCAAAAAGTCCCCCCCCCCAAAAAAAAACGCAAACGAAAGAAAACAAATGTGGCGTAAAACCATCGAATATAAACAAAGCTGTCCTGCGCGTATAGCGCTACCTAGTGACATATTCATCCACTACGCTGTCCAATGTCAAGACATTCTAAACAAATGTTTGGGAGATGTCAACGTAACCACGAACCGCTGTAAGTTGAGGACGCTGTAAACCGAGGACTCTGTGAATGAAAGACGACCTGAGCCTGGATCTCTTTTCCACTGCGTCATGGATTAAGATAAACATTAAAAAACCTCGTTCCTATTGTCATACGTTCATGGCCTTCAAGATTCAAGTCTCATTTCTTTTATACCTTTTAACTTTAATCCAAACACTCAAACCAAGTCTCCACCAAACGCTCTGTAAAAGTGTAAAAAGCCTCATAAAGTAAACCCTCATATCCAAGTGTCCTAGAAGGCATTAAAGCCAAACGTGCCCACGAAGCCTTGTAAAGACGCGCGTGTGTGTGTGTGTGTGTGTGTGTGTGTGTGTGTGTGGACTTCCAAAATCAGGGCAGTTCCTCTCAGCCTTATTGTAGTCAAGCTGACCTTTTAAAGGACGACTTCTGCATGTAAAGAGGTCCAGTTCAGTGGAGTGGGGGGGGGAATGGGGGGGTCGACAGTGGACCCCACTCATACTCTGCAGCCTGAAATATACTGTATGAACTTTAGGAACAGAAGACAATAATCCTCTGGTCCTGATCTGAAATATGTCACCATTAGTTCTGTGACGTTACCAGTGTTCGTTTCTCTCCTCAGCTTCTTTATTATTATCATTATTATTATTATTATTATTCCAGCTGTGTTTGTTTAAAAGAGTCTTTTATCGTTCATCAATAATTGCAGTTCAATCAGGTGGGAAGAGTTCCACTGTTTGATGGAGTTGGAGGCAGAGCTCAGAGCTCAGAGCAGAGATGATTCAGTGTCTTCTTCTTCGACTGTTACTGACTGAGTTACAGGTTTGTTTGTTTGTTTGTTTGTTTGTTTCCCTGTGATTTCATCGTTTGTTTTATTCGTTTGTACATCCTTTCTCACCAACAGAGCCTCGTTAACACGGTGTGAAGTTAAAAATACATTTATTAACCCTTTCCCTGAACACAGTAATATCTACTGTAGCATCTACGGGAAACTGAAAACATGTCAAACATGGTCAGTTGATGACAGCGCTGTCTGTTGGTTTAAAAGGAAAAACAGACTTTTTCACAACATCAGAAAATTACCATAAAAAGATATTTTTAAAAATATAATATGAATATTTTTATTTTTTTTTTTTTTTTGCTGCTGTCTAACCATGAAAACAGGTGAAACTGAATCATCAGGCTGGTGATGATTCTGGGTCGACCAATAGTATAGAAGCAGTTGATTCCACTGTGGTTTGTTCTGTAGCAAAGCTGCTAAGACTCCTATAGCTAACACACAAACCAACCCATCACACAGTGGTCAGGTCGGGTTACTAACACCAGTCTGTGTTGTTCAGTGCGGTGCAGTCACAGCACTGACTAACGTTCAGCACCACGGACAGCTCTCTGGGCTGCACAGACTCGTTAACACACAGTAGCTGCTGCAGTTTTTCTCTTCTCACTCCCTGCCTCGTTATAAGACCAGTCCTCGCCGCTAATAACGGACCGTGGTGGACATCCACAGGCTCATTAATGGGATGAAAGACCCCGTGATGTGTTGATGACCCCGGGGCTGTTACTGTGCCAGGCTGGCTGTGACATTAGGACTGATGATAAAAAATGGAAAACTGAATTTTTACAACATTATAACATTAACACATTTGCAAGGTCACGTATTTAACAAAAGGCTCATGTGGAGTTTTTTTTTATACGCTAATAAACCATAATAGCCCCCTCACAGAGACAGCGCTCTTTGAATTAGTCGGGGGAATCCAACATAAAACTCAACCCAAGACACCGTCCTATATATGAGAGTGTTTCCCAAACCTTTTTTTTTCCGGGGAAACCATATTTTAAAGTCTCAATTTTTCGGGTAAACCATATTTTAAAGTCAAACCTTTGTGACCAAAGTCAACAGACATTATTCATAAACTCCTGGGAAACATGATGTGAGACGACCCCCCCAAAAAATGTCCTGCGATCCACCTGAGGGTCCCGACCCAGTCTTTGGGAAACAATGCTATAGAGGACTAGACAAGTGGATGTGTTATTATTAGGTCATTAATACATTAATTAATTGACAACATTAAAAAGAAAGTTTTAAAAAATGACAGCGTTTTGGTCTTGATCTGTCAGAAACTTTAGGTTTTTCTTTATGTTAGATATTAAATCCCTAAAGTCCAGGTCATCTTTTACTGGCTAATTTTTTATGCCATTTATATTAAATATAATGTAAAATTCTCAACAGCGACACTGCAGTGTGTTACTGTCAATTGTATTGGGTCTGTGTGTGTGTGTGTGTGTGTGTGTTTTCCCCTGAGGTGAGTGGGTTTTTTTTCTTCCTCATTTTCACCTTCAGCTCCTTTTGTTTTGCGGCGATGATAGGTTCCTAGCCCAGAGCCCAGAGCAGCAAAGTCTCCTTCAGATGGAACAAACAGAGAGCTGCACTGGCCAAAACAGAACTTGTTCTGGATTTTCACTGAGTCACATCCATCTGCTGTCACAAGCTGAAGATGAGACGAAGAAGAAGGGAAGGAATTAGACCGACTGTGTTTCGGTGATGTCATTACAGTGCTGTTTAATCTCTTCATCTGAAGTCAGTGGTTTAATATGGGCTTTTTGTGACAAACTGAATCTCATTGTTCAGAGATGCTAATCCTGTGTAAAAGCTATGCAAATATATATATATGTATGTGTGTGTGTGTGTGTGTGTGTGTAAATGTAAAAATATAACAATCTTCTATTTTAAATTTACTCACAATTCACTAAAATCTCAGCCTGTTTAGTTGAAGACAATGCTGATATACTGGCAGGAATTGAAGAAATTTTTTCAGTTGAAAAATCAATTGAAAAAAGTTTTTAGTTTTCATCGCCATTTGCTGCCACCTGGCGGTAGGGTATTTAATTGTTCTGCATGTCACACATTGACAAACAAAGAAAAATTATTTGCAATAAATAAATAATAGTTTTGGGACCAATTACGTGACACCGGATAATTTTCCACGGCACAGCTAATGATCTCTCACGGCCCGCTAGTGTGCCACGACCCAGTGGTTGGGACTCACTTTACAACTTCACACACTAACAGACCGGTTCCAACAGGTTCTTTGTGTGACGTCTGAGAGGCTAGAGGTCACATGACAACTGACCTCTGCCCTTTATCGAACCAAACAACAGGTTCCTGGGGAAACAAACGCTTCACAAACGCATTAACACGATCTCTGCTTCTGAAAATCTGGATGGAACAGAAAATAAGAACGATCCTCAGAATGTTTCATCGACACCGACTCTCATCCAGTGACAGTTTGAACTCCAGTCAGACTTTTACGGCGGTCGAATTTTTTTTTGCCGCCGACGATTTGTTATGACTGAGTTTCTCTTTTCTTTAATTGGTCACTGGTTCGTAAAATGATGCAGTGATTTAAAAGCTCATTAATAGACAATTCACCAATTTACCCTACGGTGTTTACACACACACACACACACACACACACACACAGATGGGATGATTTTGATTTTTTCCGTGTGTGTTTGTGTGTGTGTGTGTGTGTGTGTGTGTGTTGTACTTTTGTCAATCTCCTGGTGTGTTTGACTTTGTGTTGCCATGGAGACAAATACCTTTGTTTGTGTTGTGAGTTATTGCGACCCAGAAGGGATTACAAGAGGAAATGACTCATGACTTCCTGAAGTTCACACACAGTTCTCGCAGCGTTTGAGTTTGGTTTCCCTTCTCTCTGGTTACGCCTGATAAAGGATGAATCCCTGAATTTCCTGGTTTTCTACTCACTGTATCTTTGGTCTGATTGGTTCATTTTTACACACGTTTCCCGCCAAAGAAAATGATTTTCCTTCTGTTCCTCCTAACTTTAAATGTCCCTCTTCTTCTGTCTTCCAGAAACCTGTCCAGGAACCCCATGTTGACCACACTGTCCTGGCAGATCTTTGACCATCTGCCGCTCTTTGAACTGTAAGTCGACTTTACTCAAACTTAACTCTCCACACGTCCAGCAGGGGGCTATAACGAGGATGTCATCAGTTTTTTTTTTATGTCATCGATCATGTTTGAAAACTGAGCAGGGGCGGGGCCGCAGCCCCCACTTTGAAAACCACGACCGGTCAGAGCCCGTCCAGACCTGCCCTGCCTTTAGACCTTCATGTGAACTCTCATTAGGATCATGGTTCACTGAGGCATGTGGGCAGCAAATGATGGCCCACGTGGTCCAGACCAAAAGATGAACTAACGACGCTGGTCCTGATACATTAAGGGCGCGGTCGTAACGTCACACCTGATTGGTCGGTGTGCGTATTGTTATGCATATTGTTTCCCCCGAGGAAACATTCGATTGTGTTTTCATGTACAGTTTCAGCAGATAGAGAGTGAATAACAGGTTGCTGTGGCAACGTGCAACATAGCAGCAACAGCAGCAGCAGCAGAAAAAAACCAGATAGTCAGAGCTGTTGAAGAAGATCTTTGTGAGTGTCTTTCTTCAATTCCTGCCAGTATATCAGCGTTGTCTTCAACTAAAGAGGAATTTTAGTCAATGATGAGGTCATTTAAACTAGAACATTATTATATTTCATCACATAAACTTGTGTAAAATTGTTGTTTGGTGGTGTGCTGTGGCTCAAAAAAGGTTGGGAATCACTGGTCTGGTCTAGAGGGGACAAATACCAAGACGAACTTCACATTTTTTTGTCTCACCAATTATGAAAAAAAAAGAAAAAGAAACATATCTATTGGCTATCACACAAAGAAAAATAGCAGGCTTTGAAGCAGGTCATAACATCTACCTGTGATACATTTCATGTCATTAATTAAAAAACATTTTTGTAGCATTTCAAATACATATAGTTGGCTCTTTCTGGTCCCAGAATACAAACATGGGGACACACAAAAAAATACATTAAGCAGGCAATACTAATGACCACAACAGCATATTTCTATTCATTATAAAAGGTAACCAGCTAACATGCTCTAATGAACGGAGAATTCACACGACGTAGATTTAGACACAGATGAACTAACTTCACTAACGCACCTCATTCCGTTCAGTACAACTCCATGCTACGTCAGACTGTGTCGATTCACGTGCTTTTACCCAGTGAGATCTGTGCTACATTTGTAGGCTAACGTTAAAGAGGACAAACTCTGATAAATGAGCAGCTTTTGGAACCAGTGGAAACATTTTGTGCTGCAGGCGAAACCAAGACCAGGATTCTCCTCTCCTCTCCACAATTAACAACAACAAGTACTTCCTGTTGTTTGTTGTTGCGACTTTTAAATGAAAGGAAATAGTTGCATTCCTCCAGAGAGCGTTCGTTCAGGACTGGTCCAACTGTTTTTCATGTCACGCTCAGCCAAATAAAACAAACACGCATCTAAGTTGTGGGAAATTGGGTTTTAATTAGAACTCGTCTGCTTTGCTGCGTCATTTAGTCGATGAGAAAGTGACTTTTTTGTTTGTTTGTTTGTTTTTTTCTGGAAACTGACACATTTTTGGTTTGGTTTTTGATTTGTTCCAAGACGTCAGTGCAGAAAATTTTACAAAGGATTTAAGCCAACACTTAGTACATAAAACATCAGATAAAAAAAATATGTCCAATAATATCGGTCAGCCAATATTATTGGACCGATATTAGCAAAATTATGTAATATCTGTAAGAATCGTTATCGGTTTGTCCTCCGATAATAAAAACCCGATAACGCTATGCCAAGGTTTTCTCAAATAATGTGTGCTCCAAAAATAGTTTTGGGGATAAACAGCTGTATAATAAAGTGAAGTCACTAGATGGCAGCATTGCAGCTCATTTAATTAATCTATTTTAATAATCAGGGGATTGTATTCAGAATTCTGGAGCTAGCAACTCATACAGTGGTTTGTACAGATCAATAAAAAAATATCACCAGACCTGTATCGGTATCGGTTGATATCGGAATCGGAACATGAAAAGTGTTTGAACAATATCGGCATATCGTCAAATTGTCAATATCGGACATCCGTACTTAAAACTGAATGAACTTTGTCAAAGTTAAAGATTCATCTTAGGTAGAATTTCCCAGTGTTACAAAAAATGACTGACGGTTTCATGGATTTTAGGGAAGGGTAGGGTCACTGACGCCCCGCTGCACCACCGCTGCACCACCGCTGCACCACCACCCTGGTGGCCTTTATTAGCTGTGATGTTAAAGACTGGGCTTCTCCTCCTCTCAACCTTTAGTCTTTCTGTCTGTCTGTGTGTCTGTCCCCCGACACACACATCTGCGCTGCGTTAATGAGAGTCAGGTTATCGCCGCTTCAAAGTAGAAGCGCTCATTTGCATCGCACCTCCCTGACCAGACAGATGAGGGATTTAATTAAGTCAGTGTCGCCGGAGCAAAGATTGCATTTGCTGCATGTTGTCAGATAAACTCAGATCAACCTGGGGAGGGGGGGGTGAGGGGGGCAACATGATTTTGAGGCTTTAAGGATACGACTAATGAAGGACTTTAATTAAATTGGGCTTAAGGGTGCCACGTGAAGGCAAGTGTGCCGTGGGCAGGAGTGTTGAGAGTGTTACTTATATTAATATGTTGTGGATCTGAGTCACCGTCTTTAATTACCCCACAACTGCGTTCATACTCTGGGATTGGTTTTCTAAACGGTTTCACAGTGACTCAGAGAAACAGCGCTGGTTGATCATTTCTACGACAACGAGACAAAGATTTGTTTGGCATTGAAAAGTCATGGAAACGCAGCCCTAAACATTTCCAGAGCATTAACCCATGCCTTCAGGTGTTTGGACAACATCGGCAAAAAGTTATCATCGGACATCCCTTAAAAAAAAAATAAAATAAAATGAACAGTTTGATGAAGAGGTGGTTATTCCAGTGTCAGAGGTTGAGAACATCAGACAAACAAACACAGACAAGTTTTGTCAGTTTGTTAGGAGGAAGTGGACGACAAAGAGTTAATGGAGCATAAATGAGCAAAAGGTTCACGGAAAACAAACAAATAGAGGGAAGTTATTCAAAGAAAAAAAAAATAGAAACCACAACCTAACCTGACATGAACGAACAAACAAACACACACACACACACACACACACAACCAAACCGTGTGACGAGAAGAGCCGATGTTTTGAAGCGTTCCACTGATTGCTGAACGCAGCCCACCTGCTGCTGCAGGAACAGGTGAGCTGATTGGAGAGTCATCAGTGAAGCACAGAGTGAACACAGAACAGAGAGCCATCAACCAAGTCCAATGGGATTTAATCGGATTATTCACAGGCTAGCTGAGGATTAATCACAATTAGTCATGATTAATTAAAATAAAACAACTAAGTTGGAACAGAAAGATGGGTTTCATGTATGGGTTTTCATTTGTGACTAATCTGAACGGTAGAATTATCAAAACAGAAAACTGTCGAGAGAAAACAAGAAAAGGTTGGAATTAAATTCCAACCTTTTCTTGTTTTCTCTCGACAGCTTCATGGAGCTGCTTGAATCATTAAAAAAATGATGTTCAAACCTGAAATGTCCTCAACAATATTAATGAATCCCTCACTCTCCCTTTGACCACTGAGTCTCAGGCCTGAAGTTGAAGACCCCACTAACGCAGGCTTAGTGATGAGAAGGTATTTAAAGCTTGAGGCGCTTCAGTGAAACAGGAACTCTTCCCTGCAGTGTCTGAAAATAATAACACGTGTTTAGATTGAATTGTTATTTCAATTCAATCAATTCAATTATTGGATGTAGAATTTGCGTCATTCTACCGATGCATTTAAATTTCAAATCTGATTATTTTCACAAATTAATTAACGCCAGTGACTTTGTGTGAATTTCAACAGTTCAAATAGAAACGAAACGCCACTTTTTTGTAACTTACTGATATTATAGATGTAAATTATAATGTGTTTGACTCTTGAAGGAAAAGAACATTTCAGTGTTTTTTTTTTTTTCTTACCTTCCGTACATGTTCTCTCTGAATTGATGTTCTTTTATTTGTGGTTTGAACACTGACTAACCAGGAGTCGTTCAAAACAGAAAAAGAAACAGTAAATAAATCCTAATGCTTTATTATTATTATTATTATTATTTTGCATCATTACGATTCGACCATCGTTGGCTCGAATGCAATTGTGAAATCAAATAGTGCCGTAACCCGCTGTGCCTCAAACTTGCAAATGAGAGCTGCTGACTGCGAGCCAAAGGCGTGAGAATAATCAGGCGACGACAGCGAAGAGTTCGCTGCCGTTCTTGTCTCGTCTTGGCTGAGATTCGGTCTTCCAGGCTTCCATAGTCACACTGTGTACTGTGGCGTGTGAAGAGTGTGTGTGTGTGTGTGTGAGTTCCTGCCTACAGCCTCCTTAGGTGACACTCATTAATTAATTGCAATCAAAGACTTGTTTGTAAAGTGACAGAATCGTCGCAGAAATCAGATGCTTTTCTTATTTTCTCTATTTTTTTTCTACATTATTGAGCCTAAATTATTGTCTATATACTGTATGTATATATACATATACTGTACATATATATATATATATATATATATATTCTTTTTACTGGAGC